TGAAGCCTGAAAATCACAGAGAAGACGTCAAAAGACAAATTTAGAAAGCAGACCACATATCCTAAGGGTGATTCAACAGTATTCAAGTGGGGAAATACTGGAACTACCCAACAAGAAAATAGCGGAATAGAAAAAACTAAAATACCATAAGCAAAACAATAATGTCGTGCTGAACGACCTTTAAGGATCGGAAATATAACATCTCTGATTGAATGTACCGTGCGACTTTTCTTGAAGCCTCCAAACGGCACAAACAAAGCTGTTGTGACGATAAAATTCATTTTATTAACAATGTCCCGTTTATAAAAACATGGTGGGGCTAAGAGTGAGGTTTGGTGCACCATTAACCGGTTTAACTCCCTAGTAGTACTTATGCTGCTGACCGTTCTGTGTTCCTCAGATGTATGTCTTGTATCATACTGTTTGGTGACACTTTTGATTGTGTCCTTTGTTGTTTTCTCGTCTACGATAAGTTTCTTCCCTTTTGCCCCTAGTTTTATTTCTTTATTGCGCCCCCCCCCCCTTCCCCGAATTTCCTATCCCCTTCCCTGTGCACTTTACTTAGTGGGCATATTAATCAATTATATGTTTTCTTAAATTTGGTTTCCTTGTCGGTTACTATTTTTCTTCATATGTATCATTTTAGTGATATGCCTGACCGTGCTTTTCCTTGCGCCCTGTCCTTGTTACGCCTTTTCTTTGGAATCCTCATGGGTTCCTTGCCCCTAATTCTTGTTGCTGGGTCGTGTGGGGGTTGCGTTCATTGAACGCCGCCTTTCCTTGTTAATCTTGTTTATCATATTTTACTCTCACCAGAATTATTTCATCGTGTTAAATACTTTTAAATCTTACCATTTGGCCCTTTATCGTGTGATGTATACAATGCGTGTCTTCTGCACTAGCATCTGGTATAAATCAAACTTGACAGAACAATCTTGAACATTGTATAGTGATCAGTCATGTAATACTTAATGTGATGTAGTTAAACCATTTTGGAATTCTTAAAAATCAGATGAGTTTCTGAATAATTATTGTATAAATTGTGAGACTGTAAATAATATATGGTCATCAATTGCTTCCCAGTAATGAAGGTACATGACTTTTTTTGTACATTTGACTTACATATTAACAAAGTCATTATTGAAGCTAGTGATATACTTTCTTCTGATGCTGAAAAATACAATTTTAAGACATAGTCAATTACACTAACATCCTTGCATGTTGTTTCACCAATGTAAGCCTCTTTACATAATCTACCATTGGCTTTATGAACATCGTTAGACATACAAAAATCAATAGGTCTGCGGCCAAAATTATTCCAAAATTTGTCTTCAGAGGATTTTTCTGTAGGAAAACCAGAGTATCAAGATTATTTCTATTTAACAGCTGTTTGGTTTCATATTCAAACAAACAATCTGAAATGTACCTATCAAATACAGTAAAATCTGGAAGAGTACCAGTACAGAAAATTTTCTAGTTTGATACTAATAATATACGCCTCAATCCTATAAAAATATCAATATTTGAAAAGGTACACCCTTCAGGAGGGGTATAAATTGCTCCAAAGATACATTTCATATAAATGACACTCTCATCAATTTGAAACCATATACAATTTTCAAAAGAATTATCAAAGAACTTAACTTTATCAAAAATATCAATTTTTAATTTGACTCCAATACATCCAGACTTGTTAAATAAAATTTCCTACTTAACTCATAAAATTTATGGTTTTGCACTGCAATACTGTCATAAACATCTAACTTAGTTTCTAACATCACATTTCTGAATGAACTCTTCAAACTCTTAAAAAATAAGTTTAGAATAAAGTCGACAAATATTTAAAGTAACACATTTTAACTTATGAACATTAATTGAACAATAGGAATGGTCAAAAGTATCTATCCCTTTAAAATGCTTCTTAGCAGATCTCACAACAAAACTAGCATCCTCCTCCTCCTCCTATTCAAGTGACTCTAGTCCCAAATCCTTTAGGTCAATGTCAATACCTAATGCATGAAAATAATCTGGAGAAGAAACTGAGAACTGCTGTTTTCCCTTTGTACCAAAGAGTACCCTGTCGCGAAAATATACATTAGAAACACCAGGAGTGTCCTTCAACGCTGATTTCATTCTCACCCTAAGTTGTGTTAAGTCATCAGAAATAAAAATGTGTTTGTATTTCACAAGAGAAACAAGATTTTTCTTCGATCTGAGTACCTGGAGAACATGAAACGAAAGGAACACTAATTTCTCTGACTTGGCCGTAAGATTTCTTCTTACCTACTCTGTGACATGCACTGAGGTGACTTTCGTTTAACATGATAATTCTAGAGCATGATGAGTAATCACTCCTAGAAACATACTCTAAATAACTTTCAGAATTAACTATTTTACAGGAGTACATTTCTAGCCACTACACTTACACACGAAACGTCGATACCGATATATTATTGAAGATAACTGATCGAGTAACACGCGGTTTTGCACAGAATGAGTAAGATAAAACATACTTTGATCATTAGAGGTGTGTGTCATTTAGACCAAATGGAGAAAGTTGGTAAAAGAGCTGTCATTAAGTACTTTTGTTAAAAAGAGATGTCCCCCCGACAAGAAAATCCATGAAGACTTCATGGATACACTTGGGAAGGAGTCGAGTCTCCTTCCTTTAGCACTGTGAAAAGATGGGCTGCTGAATTTAAGAGGGGCAGAGAGAGCATTGGAGATGATGAGCGGCCTTGGCTGCAAAAAGAGGCCACCAACGATTAAACTGCCGAAGCTGTGCACGATCTGGTCATGTGCGACAGAAGGCGAGTCCCGCGAAGCACTGTTAGAGAAGGGGGTATAAGCTTTGGTTCAGTTCAGGCAATTTTGACTGATGTATCTGGCATGTCAAAGGTTTCCGCTAGGTGGGTCACCAGGCAGTTGACTGACGACCAGAAACGGACCTGGATTGACAGTTCAAGATAATTTTTGCCTCGCTACTAGGATGAACCTGATTTTATCTACTCAGGATGTAACACGGGTCCATCACTTCGATCCAGAATCCAAAAAAAAAACACACAGAGCATGCTGTGGAAGCAACCTGTCTCAACTTCTCCGAAGAAATTCAAGAGAGTGCCATCAGCAGGGGATATGATGACTAAAATGTTTGGGATAGTCAGGGGATAATCATGATTGACTATCTTGAGCAAGGTCGTACCATGAATGGTTAGTACTATGCAGAAGAATTGAGACGTCTGCGTCAAGAAATCGGGCGTAAAGGAAGGGGCAAACGGACTCAAAGCGTTCTGCTCCTGCACGCAATTGCGATGGTTGCTGCAATAGACTGCGGCTTTAAAATTCTTCCGCATTTCCCATATTCTCCGGACTTTGCCCCCCCCCATTACTTCTACCTATTCCGAAACTGGAAACCAAGCTTATAGACGTTTTGGAAGCAATGAAGGTGTCAGGGAGGTTCTTTGAGGACCAAAATAGAGAGTTTTATTTTGAAGGGTTAAACAAGTTGGAACACAGGTGTGTAAAGTGCATTTATGTAGAGGAAGAGTATAATGAAAAGTTATAACATTAGTTGGGTTCTCTGACACTGAAAGTACATCGGGACGAGAACATTTTGATCAATCCTCGTATCTTGTCTTGCAACTGTGCCTTGTCAGGTAATACTAGTTTGAAGTTACTAGCTTTAAAAGTTTTCAAGTCATTCAACTTAATAAGAAATTTTGACTTCTGTTAAATAGGGGGTATTACTATAAACTTACAGCTTCTTAAATAATGATCCTTGTCTTACAACTTGCCTTGTCAATATAAACAAGCATTCAGAGTTGCATTTTGATATCTGTCATATTTCTGAAATAATTTTACTTAATATGCAATTTTGAGTTGAAAATGGATATTACTGCAGAAATATAGCTTTTAGAATAATGCCCATTGTCTTAACAAATTTCTTTTGTCATGATAAGGAAGCGTTCCATGTTCAAAACTGTTCGGATAATGGGCTATATTAAAGTTTTGCACGATGATTACGACGGATGACGATGACGACGCAGCGATTCTAAAAGCGTGTTGTTTATTTGCGAAACAGACGAAGTAACATATACCTTTTATTAAATGGTAGCAAAAGCAAGTATCTCTTACAATCATTTCTATTTATCAAAAAATATGCGTATATTTGACAAAAATAAAACCTTGGTTGTTCACGGAGATATACAGTACAGCCCCCGATAATGTTGTTATAACTTTTGGCCCAACCCTTTTGTATATTTACATTAATGTATTTATGTGTAATTGTAAAAATTTATGCAACAGTGCAGTTTGATTGTGTGTCTGGTTTTACACATTATTGAGTGATATCCCGGTGATTGTTCAGTCATAACGGCTTTCCGGATAACTAACCAGTAACTACCAATTTGTTTGCAAGCGAACGACTTCTTATCTCACATAATTTATAAATCAACAAATGGTGGAAAATAACCAATAGAATATACGTCCGAGATAAAAAGTCACGGACATGGAAAAGCAAGTAGGAAAATACAAAATAAAAAAACACATTTTATATACCGAATAAAAAGAAAAACATTTCACAGAGTATCTTATCTTTAGATTTAAACGTTAAAACATTTAAATCAAATTATATAGAGGATATTGAATGAGTGTATGTTTAATACTAAATGTATTGAACGAGTTTAATAAAATCATATTATGCGAGCCTTTGGTGAGCATAATATTGTTTTAATGAACGAGTTCGATAAATTTAGTATTAAATCTACACGAATATAGTATTCTTTTTATCACATAATTATATAAAATAAGAACGGTAAACTGTTAATAAGTGTCATTTTTATTTGACGCGTCTATAGTGTAACGCTAATATTAGCACGCTTTAACGCTATGTCTATAGCGCAAATGACGTCACGTCAAAATGTTATTACACTAGTGTAATATTGTCTAGTGTAAACTCATTTTTATTTTATTAAATGGCTTTATTACACTCCTGCAACATTATTATATAATTTTGCTATTGCCACGTTACACCAATCACAATGTTTACAGTTCATTGATTACAAGAAGTCAGTTACAAATAAGCCAGATCGTTACTGGATTTTATGAAAACATGAAGATTCCCTGGTTGAATGGTGTCTTTTTCGTTCCTCCTTCCAAATAAATCACATTTGATTCTTTCCCCTTCTTCGTTACCAGGTTCCAGTATTCTCGCCACACCCATGAAGTCATCTATTAACATGTTACTGTTCCAAACCTGAGGTAATAGACAAAAAGCACACATTTAGCAAACAATCACATAATTTTACGATTTTATAATTATTCATTTGCAAAGTTTCTATTTTTTATTTTCTCTCTGACAACATTTAAAATTATTCGTTTGCAGATTTTCTCTCTGACAACATTTGCAATTACTCATTTGCATATTTTCCCTCTGACAACATTTGTACTTATTCATTCAAAGATTTTCTAGGTAGGGTGCTACCAACAACATTACACATACCTCAACAATGATGGGATCGGTGTCAGGATGTTTTCGGTAAAATGTTGCTTTTATATTCCACTTTGGTCTGTCAGTATCCAACTGTTTGTCTGAGACGATTTTCTCTCCCTCGCATAGAATCTTGACGTAAGCATCGATAGCTAGATGATAAAGGCACATTATAAAAAATAAAGTATGTTCATTCAACAAATGCAGCCATTTGTAATTACTGATTGAAGTCAAACGTTTATTCTATCTGTTTTTAGGTATTGCACGGTGGTGCATTTTGTCCTTACCTCTATCTTCTCTCGCAACAAACAGACCGGTAAACAGGCACTCTGGATACCACATCCTTGTTTGTTTCCTTTTTGTCAATCAAAGATATTATTGATAGATTTTTTTATTGATTTTGACTGCACTTAAACAAGTTCATAATATACTTTAAAATGAAATATTCAGACATATTGATGAAATTAACTGCGTGTTTTCATTTTCTGTATTTTCACAGTTTAGAATTCTTTTTCACTGCAATGAAACATGTTTTTCCGTTTATTCAATGAAAAAAATTATGTATTTATAGAATAAGTTTTTTCCTTTAAAAATTGCGGTACATATATTTTGATTTATTATGTTTTCCAACGTTTCCATTTTTCGAATGAGTGAAAACTTATAAACAATTCTTACTTTCGACTGAAGAACCTGCGGGAAGTTCAAGACCAGTAGCACGTTTTATTGTTATTGTAGACACCTGTACTGGGGTTCCACCGATGAATGACGCCGTAGGACATTCTTCTTTAAGCTCCCTGTGATAGAAAAGAATATTACTGATATATAAATAAAAACATTACCTATTATTGCACCATCGTAGTCATGATTCGCGGTTTTAGTTAAAAAAAACCTCGCTGGCCCAAAAGGAACAAAGTAGACTTCCCCCTTCATAGCCTTTGTCTACTTCAATAATAACGAATTATGTGAACAATTTTATAATTCTGTCAAAATAGAATCATTCGAAAAAAACCCTTATGTTTATTTTTTTTCTTCAAGTACAATTCCATCCATCCGTCCACACCTGACCTTATAATCTGTATCTTTGATAATTCATTGTACAAGTTATTGAAAAACTACATCAATTTTCAAAACAAAGCGACCCTAAAACGTAAAGGTACGTCTGCGAACCTATGTTGTACCGCGTTCACCGGAAATAGCCTCTTAAATACATCGAAAACAAAATTAAAAGGTGTACGTCGAGTTCACCCGAGGTAATGATTCAACTTATTTCTCCATCATAACTTTATCTATTTTTCTTAACTAAACAATTTAATGAAGCTGAATATGTCTGGCTTTAGAGTAGTATTTGCTTTTTTTCTGCAAATTGAATACTTTCTGTTAAATTGGCAATAAATTGTAACGTATTTGATGACATTTGCAGACGATGTTAATATTTACCACTAAATCAAGCCAAAAACGCATTTTCTGTGGCGAAATCCGTGGTTTATACAAAATATAGACGACTTCCCTCTACTGCCTTGGAGTGATTACCTTTCAACTCGAGCTGCTTTAAGCAAAATTTGCGAAAGCACGTCTCTATTTGCGTTTTTTTTTTCGCAGTTACTGTTCTACAAATGGATATAATATTCTTAGGATAAATATAATAGACATCGCTGGAATAAAACATTTTTGTTTTGATAAGCAAACCGAACGAAGTAAATAAAAATTTTACCTGCTAGATGCTGAGTTTGGCGTGTAGAGTCGCACCATAAATGATCCGGTGTCCCCTGCGTCTTTTGTCGTCGGGAAAAGCACATAACGTCCCTTCTTCAACTCGACGGACCCGAAAACACTTCTTGACCTTACATAATCGGATTTGAACATCTGGTCTCCATTGATATGGATTCTGTATTTCCGGTTTTCTTCCACCTGTCGCGTTGTATTAAAACATATAAATTCCTTAAACAAACGTATAAATATTTTATATACTAGCATCAAACATGCTTTGCAAAAAACGAATTTGGAGATTTCTGCTCAAATTTAAATACAGTTTAAAAGAGACAAGACGCGTCGCATAGCGACGAAAACCAGGTTTCAACCACCAATTATTGATGTGACAGGATTTGGGAATGAATTATGGCAGTGAAGTAAACATGATGCTTTTATTTGGTTTCAGTAGTTAAAAATAATGTAAATGAATTTATATCAGATACCTGAGTAGCAATGTCAGGCTGTATTTTTATGGAAGCTTCACACATATCAAGCGAATTATAAATTGGTCAAAGTGTACTGAAGTTAATGAGAAGAAGCTGAAAATTCTATTGTAAGCAAGTGACCTCGAGTTTGCTCCAAGATATCCTATTAGCAGTTCCAGGCTACATCTTGATAAAAGCTATCCACACAGTAGTTTTGTGTGCATAGGTCAAAGCAAACTCAAGTTATTATGTGAACACTAAATTTCTTTTTTAATCAATAGTGACCTTGACCTTGTTAATAGGCACCTGAGTAGCAATCCAATTTTGCGTTTTGATATAAGCTACCCACATACTAAATATCAACGTCGGATACCCACGATTGATTAACATGTTACATAACATGCAATCAACCGTTGGTAAAATGAATCGATTTGCGTCGATATACGGCAACAGGTGCGTAAAATATCTACCAATGACATCGCGTTTATCAAATCTATAATCTTCAACAGCGGAGGTAAAAAAACAATAAGAAACAAAATGGCAGCGCCCACGGTTAAGGGGGCAGGGGACATATTCGAATAATTGCCACGGTCAAATTTTTTAATAACTCGGACATTGTGTTTTGAAGGTACTGATAACTTCTGATATTTCTCTGTCATTGTAATTCTTTCTTGTTTGTGTGTAGGAAATGAGATATATTTTTGGGTTTTTACCCGAAACTAAGCATTTTGATAGCTTTGTATGTATTTCTGACTCTCCGAATGGAGGTGAAAAAGTTAAAAATCAAGCTTTGACAGTTGGCACCAAACAAGTAAGAAATTTCAGATAAATTTTGTGAAAAATCTAAACGTATGACAGACACTTTATTTGTCATTTCTGAAAATGCCATAGCTTGCACTGCGTGTTACTGATATTTTTAAAGGAATCGGGCGGATTCTGGAGTATGCTGCACCTTCATGAAGATTGCCTATATTGGCATATTTTAGGTGTGATTTTGGCTGGGTGGGGGTAAATATAAATTTCTGTCAGTCATTTTCTGAAGGAGCAATGCATGCAAATTATTATTTTCTTCAATGTATGTCATATATTATTGAATAATGCTGTGCAACTGGTTATCTGCCTGTGAAACAGATTTTGAAATATTTGGAATTGTGTTTCTGGTCACACTGAAATACAAAATTTTCATTTTTAGGTCCTCTGCCCCCTTAAGGAAATTTTCAAATTTATAAAATGTGTTGGAATTGACCCAAATGTGCCCATAAACATTCCTTCTACATTTGTTAGTCAAAATTTGAAGTGATTGGTAGGATTTATCAAGTTATGTAGAGTAAGTAGACTGTCAAGTCAAGGGAGGTAATAAAAATTTGGAATTTTGGCAAACACTGTACTTCACAGAATGTGCACATTTATCCAGATTTAACAGTTTTATGTTGTGCAAATTGACATAATAATGCACAATTGAGCACTTTTAATTGTTAAAAATGTACATAAAATAGATAAATACAGAATCCCTAAAGAAAGCCCAACACGCCAAAATTGAAAATGTTGCAGGCTCGGTTTGATTGAACCTATTCATGGACGGTACTGGAAAGTGCAAGTTACCGTCCACGCCCCCTAGCGCCGGCTTAAGCAGAATTCAACATTTAAACATGAAGTAGTAAAATTTTGAATTTAAAAACATCCGCAGATGTGTTCATACGGCGGTTATCATGGAACCTTCAATGTGACACTTCCGTGCCATTCCATGAAAAGCGGCGTATGGTCCCCAAGTAAAAAAAAGCGTATGCCCTAAACAAGAAAACAATGGGCGGAACTAAATAAAATGGAATTTTGAAAGGGGATCAGAGGTTATGATATATAATGATATAAAGATATAAAATAATATATAGATATAAATAATAATATAGATATAAATTTCTGTCAGTCATTTTTTGAAGGAGCAATGCATGCAAATTATTATTTTCTTCAATGTATGTCATATATTATTGAATAATGCTGTGCAACTGGTTATCTGCCTGTGAAACAGATTTTGAAATATTTGGAATTGTGTTTCTAGTAACACTGAAATACAAAATTTTTCATTTTTAGGTCCCCTGCCCCCTAAAAACTGTTGAACGTGTCTTGCTAAAATCAATGGCAAAAACCTATCGCCAAATCAGTTCTTCTGCAAACAGATATCAATCAGAAAGGAAAATATCAGGCTGTAAAAGTAAATAATCTATACTTTCTTGCTGTAAATCGTTTAATGTTTTCGATGTTGAACTATTCACGTCGTATATGGTTGTCGCAATAGTGTCTGTAATACCGAGCGTCGTACAGAACGAGCGTTTTAATTGGTTTTAATCGCCTCATGAAATCGTAAGGCAGCCAATGAAATAGCTGCCTTTGACACACCTCTAATCGACTGAATATCGGCTAAAAATCCCACGGCTGATAAATGCTAATGGTTCGGCCGTGGGTATCCGACGATGACTAAATATGTGTGTATAGATCTTTGCAAACTCAAATTGTTCACAGACACCTTGATAACAATCCCGAGTTGCTTCTTGATAAAAGCTAGCCCCACACCAAATTTGCTGTAAAAAAGTCACAGTTAACTTAAGTTATGATATGGAAACTGAATTTCTATTTTTAGCAACAGTTACCTTGACCTTAATCAAAGTCACGTGGGTAGTAATCCCAATTAGCATCTTTATATAAGCTACCCACATACTAAGTTTTTAACCGGTTTTATTGAGCAAAAACTTAATTTATATTTTAGCAACAGTAACCTTGACCGCGATCAAACAAATTTGGCCAGCAATTCCAAGTAGCGTCTTGATATAAGCTACGCACATACTAAGTTTGGTGTCAATAGGCAAAAGCAAATTCAGGTCATTGAGCTGAGAGACAAAAAGTTGATGACCGCCTGCCCGCCCACCGACTTCAGCATTACAATAACCATTTTTCGTTGAAAACCTGGTTTAAAAGTACGTGTGACTTTTCTTTTCATTTATTGGATTTGTAGCTACTGAAAATTTGTCAAAACATTTCCTTTTCTGTAGTCTTCGTTTATGATTTATGATATTGTGATATATTTTATAATCAATTTATTAGAAGATTTTTACTTATTTTTCTTTGTACCTTCATCACTTGAAATCCAATCTCGTCGAGTTTAATACCACGATGTAATCGAGATTTGTTGATATCATGCTGTTCCAGGGAAACCAAAATCTCATCGTTCACTGCCGTTATATCAAACACATACTAGAATGTAAATCATAACATTTTTGTGTAGCTTATTGTTTTAATTATCGACATGGTTTAATAAATATTCATTATATCAATATTAAGTCTTATTATAAAATTTGAGAACTGTCCTTATTTATTCAAATGCAAAACAAAGGCATAGGTTTGTTTAGCTTACTAATATGATCTTGCTGACACAATGATAACGTACTTTTCACCTATAGCAAATCAAGTGTTGAAAAAAATGATGATGGGGAAAAAATAATAATAGCCACGCTTTATCGTGATAACGTTTAAACACATGAACATCTGACCTGCGGATTACTCAGGAAAGTTCTGGAATTCCAGTCACTGCCACCATTTGTTCCTGTCTTCGCTTTCCATTCTCCGTGAAACACACTCTCTTGCCACCTTTTCTTCGGAGAGAAGATGGAGGTGTTCACAAAGTGTAATATATCAAGACTGGTAAAATTGCTAATGACGTCATTAAGTCTCATCCTGTAATTCATAAGTACGTGCAAATCACTCGTATCCAAACTATTATGCTTATGTTATTTCCAGAAATAAAAGATTGATTTCATTGCATTTAAATCTCGAAACTTTTTTTTCTGTATGAACTATGTACATTTTTCACAAAGAGAACATGCCACCGCCGGTCGGGGACAACGCTCGACTGTTTTTACTTTTCCTAAAACAAACAAATGAACGATTTAAACAAATATTAAAAAAATGAATTTTAACATGTCTGTATACTCACACTTGCTGTGTTGTCCAAGTCTGAATTCTTTCCATTAATAAATGACGAAGTAAAGAAATCATAACAAAATAATAAAAAAAATCAATTAATTGACGTCAAGGGTGATTTAAAGGTCAATATCATATCCAAACAACATGTCTGTTTAGTCTCATTTTTCATTTTCCCTCGTAAGAATAAAATCCTTATGATAACAAAATTAAATACTTTGACCTTAACGTTAAAGGTCATTTAAACCTCAAGGTTAGGTCGTTTAACCATTTAGAAGGTCTTCTCAAAAATGTTGTTTTATCCAAGTATGAAAGTAATGAATTATTAATTACCAAGTTACAGTCAATTATAGCAATAATCAGTGAAAATAAAATAATTTGACCTTTGACGTCAAGGTCAAACATACATATACGTCAAGGTCAAGTTGAATTTAATAAACTTATAGGCCATGACCAACATGATGTTGTGTTATAATATGAAGTCAATCTATTCATTAATAATAAACTTGTCGCCGGTAATTTGATTTTTATACGCCCGTTTGAAAAACGGGACGTATTATGGGAACGCCCCTGGCGGGCGGGCGGGCGGGGCGGGCGGGCGGCGTCCAATTTTGTCCGGAGCATATTTCCTACATGTATGGAGGGATTTTAATGAAACTTCATATAAATGTTCACCACTATGAGGAGCAGTGTCGCGCACATGAACCAGGTCTCTAGGTCAAAGGTCAAGGTCACACTTAGAGCTCATTGAAAAATGCTTGTCCGGAGCAAAAACTTCCACATGTATAGAGGGATTTCAATATTACTTGGCACAAATGTTCACCATTGTGAGGCGGAGTGTCGCGTGCAAGATTCAGGTCCTTGCGGCCAAGGTCAAGGTCACACATAGAGGTCAAAGTTCACATAAAAATATGAAGATGTGTATATGGACCATTTAGTCATCATTTATTGAGGGATTGTAAGACAAATGGTCATTATCAAGACTATGGCTGTGATACATATAATTTAGGTCAATATATACAAGGTCAAGGTCACTAAAGATGATGAAATATCCAGATTTTGTAAATAGAATTTAATCAAAGGGAGACAACAAAGTTATTACTTTGTTCATAAATGACTTACACAATTACTCCCCTTTGATCTTTTTTCACTTTCAATTCTAAAAATAGAATTTAATCAAAGGGCATGAAATAATCCTCTTTCTTGGACTTGAGTATGTTCTAAAGAATGTAACATTTATTTACACATGTTTCATTCATTGGTCAAGATTCTTAACTGTGATAACTATGGTGTTCTGTAGACTTGGTATTTGTTCATAAAGATCATACAGTAATTACCTTATCAAATGTAAATAATTTCTCATAGAAATTTAATTATATTTTAATTTTCAAGTAAATATCAGTTCAGCTCATTCAAAGATTAAGAATTGTAATGAAATGTATTTCCCTAGAATAAAATCTTAAATCAGAATTTTTTAGTTATTAAATTACATGTACTTTTTATACGCTCGTTTAAAAAAAGATAAAAATATGAAGATGTGTATAGGGACGATTTAATCATCATTTATTGAGGGATTGTAACACAAATGGTCATTATAATGACTACGGCTGTGACACATGTACTTTAGGTCAATATATGCAAGGTCAAGGTCACTAAAGATGGTGAAATATCCAGATTTTGTCTGGAGCATATCTCCTACATGTATGGAAGAATTTTTATAATACTTTATGGAAATGTTCACCACCATGATATGTTTTGCTCCATGCATGATCCAGGTCTCCAGGTCAAAGGTCAAGGTCACACTTAGAGCTCATTGAAAAACGCCTGTCCGGAGCAAAACTTCTACATTCATAGGGGGTTTTCAATATAACTTGGCACAAATGTTCACCATTGTAAGGCTGAGTGTCGCATGCAAAATTCAGATCCCTGCGACCAAAGTCAAGGTTACACATAGAGGTCAAAGTTCAGATAAAAATTTGAAGATGGTTATAGGGACCATTTAGTCATCATTTATTGATGGATTGTAGCACAAATGGTAACTATCATGACTACAGGTGTTACACATTTAATTTAGGTTAATATTTGCAAGGTCAAGGTCACTGGAGATGATTAAATATCCAGATGTTGTCCGGAGCATATTTTCTACATGCATGGAGGAATTTTAATGTTACTTTTATAGAATTGTTCACCACCATGAGACGTAGTGCCCTGCACATAAACCAAGTCTCTAGGTCAATGGTGAAGGTCACAGTTAGAGCTCATAGAAAAACACTTGTCTGGAGCAAAACTTCTACATGCATATAGGGATTTCAATATAATTTGGCACAAATGTTCATCATTGTGAGGCTGAGTGCCGTGCATAAAATTCAGGTCCCTGCGACCAAGGTCAAGGTCACACATTCTGTGCATATCTTCCCTATTGATTTGTTTTAAGGTTCATTTAACAACACAGTGCCAAGAATAAAAACTTGCTTGCTAGATAACACTTATCCATAATGCCCCCATCTCCATCTAAAGCTTTTTCGTAAACGGGCGTATTTTGTGACTATGGCACCCTTGTTAATATTAGGATAATTTATTTGTGAGCGTCGAAGTTTGTCCGGTTTGAATGTCTATCCTGAAAGATTATTGTCATGTTAAAGTTTGAAGACAACCCATTCAAAAATAACAAAATTATAGTCACAAAAGTCAGCAAAAAAGCAAGCTGAATTGAAATCCAAGATCATTTATGACTGAAGGTCAAAGTTATTCTAGTCTACTTTAACGTCTTGTCAAAAGCGTCGACCGAAATATAGAAAGAAAGAAAGTCGAGCTTAAAATGAGCTCAATTCTTTGGGCTGCCTTACCTTCTTTTTGAAACGAATAAAGACATTAACTCTATTTTTCGTGCAGACCTACCTTTTTACAATATAACATTTTCATAGAAACGAATGTAGGTTTTTTTCACGCAGCATGCGCATTCAGCGTAGGGCAAACAAAAGAGTAAAAACAAAGAACTCACAAAAAATATTTTTCACCGATAATCAACAACTTTTAACTATTTGATATAATCTTAATAAGTAACCGTAAATTACGAATAGTTTGATGCATTTGTGCATTAAAAATAAACGTGAGCATTTCTGCATTTACAATTTATTCATGAGCTTCTTTCAAATTTAAAAGACTCTGAATAATGCATTCGATTCTAACAAAAGATCTTTCATATACACGCAACCGTTGTATTTAAGTGTCCTGAACCGCGCTACTTGAATATATGAGCTAAATGATAAATGCTAGTGTCATATTTAAATAACTGACCTTCTAAATTAGATGTCGTGAATGTGTTTTCTGTGGATAATATCTCATACTTAAGGGCTTTTATTTGAACAAACTTTGTAGACACTCACTAGAAGATGTTTCATGCTTAGTATCTAAACTCTAGCTATTTGGGTTTTTCTAAGAAGATTTTTTTTAAAGTTTTTACTAATTTACACATATAAGGAAAATCAATGACCCCCGGGACAGGGCTAATTTAAATCCCAGGGCTCTTATTTGAACAAATTTGGTAGACACCCATTAGAAGATGTTACATGATTAATCTTAGCTCTAGCTCTTTGGGTTCTTTAAAAGAAGATTTTATAAGTTTTTACTATATGCATATACGGAAAATCAATGACCCCTGGGGGCCAATTTTGACCCCAGGGCTTTTATTTGAACAAACTTGGTAGACACACATCAGAAGATGTTTCATGCTAAATATCTTAGCTCTAGCTCTTTGGGTTCTTTAAAAGAAGATTTTATAAGTTTTTACTATATGCATATAGGTAAATCAATGACCCCCTGGGGCTGGGCCAATTTTGACCCCATGGCTTTTATTTGAACAAACTTGGTAGACACCCGTTAGAAGATGTTTCATGTTAAATATCTTAGCTCTAGCTCTTTGGGTTCTTTAAAAGAAGATTTTATAAGTTTTTTTCTATATTCATGTAGGGAAAATCAATGACCTCCTGGCGCTGGGCCAATTTTGACCCCAGGGTTTTTATTTGAACAAACTTGGTAGACACCCATTAGAAGATGTTTCATGCTAAATATCTTAGCTCTAGCTCTTTGGGTTCTTTAAAAGTAGATTTTAAGTTTTACTTTATGCATATTGGGAAAATCAATGCCAATTTTGACCCCAGGATTTATTTGAACAAACTTGATAGACACTCACTAGAAGATGTTTCATGCCAAATATCTAAGCTCTACCTCTTTGGGTTTTTTAAAAGAAGATATTTTAAGTTTTTTCTATCGGTTGCCATGGCAACCAGAGTTCTGCATGGAATTAAATTCTTTGAACAATTTTTAAATGTGACCACCAAAGGAACATTCATGTGAAGTTTGGATGAAATTGGCTCAGCGGTTTATGAGAAGATGTCATTTAAAGTAAAAGTTTACGGACGACGGATGACGGACGGACGACGGACGGACGGACGCCGGACGAAAAGCGATCACAAAAGCTCACTCTGTCACTTTGTGACAGATGAGCTAAAAAACTTTTACCCTTTTTATACCCAAAAACAATGTTTTGTCTCATTTTCCAAAACCGCCCGGATTTATGCCGTTGGGGCGAAATTATAAAAATTCATTATATTACTTTCAAAATATCATCAATTCCAACGGGATTGGTAATTTTTTTATACATTGGTCATAAATACTTCAATTATGTTGACTAAATTTAAAGAGCTTAGAGCAATAAAATCATCATTCAAAATATACAAAAAAATGGATTCTAAATAAAAGAATTAATGTGATTTAATTTTATAGCAGCTAAAAGTCATCAACGAAAGTTGACATTATTACACACTTTTAACTAACAATCAACAAGGAGTATTGAAAAATTAAAAATCCAATTGGATTAAAATCCATATATTCCCTTTAACCTTTCATTTCCTTTAAAAAAAATTCAGGGGGGGGGGGGGGTGGTGGATCAAATGAGAAAGGTATCATTAATTATAATGAAATAAAAAATAAATAATCTATACATGAATGTTTTTGAAAGGAGGTAATGTCAAACATAACATTCATGTATCTTACCAGAATTCTCTTTCATTTTCATTACGCATTTTTAACCTTTCGTCATAGCTTAACGAATTCCATTCCTGTGTGCTATAAAACAAAATAAAGTAAAATAATTTATTATGAATATGTTATAATGAACATATTATTATGGATATGCCGATTCTATTAATATCATGCTGTTTAGCAAGGAGTCAAATTAATTTGAATCGCATACAAAACCTGCGATTGCCCAAATATTATTTTTGAATTAAGTGTTTCCAGTACAAAACAATTATGCTTTGAAAATGTCGATAAAAGACAACCAAATTATACCTTAGAAGAAAGTAAAGAAGCTTTAATGGTCCCTCATCTATCTATATAGTAGTGGTGGAGCAAGAATTATGACTGCTGGCTATCATTAAACATCTTTCAGAAAAGAATTAGTTCATTAAGTAGTCTCTCATCTTTGAATCTTCCTATGCGCTAGTGGTGAAAATACGTAACCACAAGTAAGATCTAGTGATAATAACTATTTGATCCTGTTTTTAAAAAGAAACTAAAATCATAAAACAGTTTAGGGACTAAGATTTGAATTATCATTTTCAAACAATTCCTAATGATATAACTGTCACTGAATATAACACGAACGCTTACTGTTCAGCCCAAGGTCCAGACCATTTTTGCGTTCCCCATGGGTTACTTAGGCGGATCATAAACATTGTTGCATATCCTGTTTTGCTCCTTATGTTAACGTCTACAACGTTAGTTATATTGTAGCCGTGACCTAAAATTAGACCATGGTTTGTTGCTGTGTCAATGTCCCCTTTTTTACACTGAAAAGAAATTAGAAATGCTACATAAAAACGTCTATTATATGCTTCCAGTTGTTTTCATTTAATGTATGTATAACTGTGTCATATCATATTAAAAACAATGTGTATATTTTATATATACTACATAACGTTTGTAATGTCCCTTTTCATTGGATAATCATGAAGTTTATATATAAACAGCTGCTGTCAAGTAAGAAGGAGTGTGTTCCGTAATCATATTGTCTCGTAAATTTACCTCACCTAAATAGCTGCCTTTGATCTTTTATGAAATTGAACACAAATAATTTTTAAGAAATACATGTACAGCGTTTTCATTGGATGACAAATAAAGTTGGACACTAAGTATGTTTTTGTTCATCCATAGCAGTATTAAATAAATAGAAACTTCAACATCATTTTGCTTCATTTATATTCACTTTATAACGTAACGACTATTTTCATGCGGTTCTTTGAAGCATTATAAAAATAGTAGGCTACTATGAACGGAGTTTGATATACTATCGATTTTGTTTTTCTTTGAAAAGTATCCCAAATAATTTATAAGATAAAAAGTGTTTTCATTAGATGACAAATAAAGTATATACTGACTAAATAGCGAATAGTGATAATGGCCATGATCAGACAGTACGGATGTGCCTGATCTTGCTAAGCAATGGTGGCATGGGTCTTAGCAGTCTAAGTTTGTTTTAAACAACAAAATGCTGTTTACGCATATATAATTTGGAAATGTTTCATACAACGATATTGCAGTTAAGTAGTGCTCTGTCGTCCATAGCATCTTTAAGTTTTTTAAATAGGTCACGCTGACTGTTTGGATCATTTGCCTCAAAGTTTGCCAAAACCAGTTTCTCAGCAACGCCACCGGTAAAATCAACCAAAGCATCAGAAGCTCGGCCAAACCCCATAGTCTCGTAATCTCCGTACAATCTGAAATCATTTTTTTCCAGATCACATGACTATTTTTGTACAATTTTACTGACTGTTTCAATTTGAATAGGTTGCATTTTTGTCTTGGGAGGTGTTAATAGTTTAACAAAAAGTGAAAAATCATTTTTTTTTATTTTAATTATAATTTTGAAAACATTGGAGCATATTTTTATGGAACTGTTTAGTGTTTAATTCATTAAAAGTCAATAATTGAATATCTGAATCTCGCACTCTTTTATTTTGCACAGGCAGTTTTAAGTGCTGTCGTGTATTTTTTTCTTCGGAGCTTCTTTCGAACTTGTAATACGGACTATTCAGGACCAAAAAGAATTAAAGTATTGAGTTCGTTAAATAAAACAAGAAAGAAAATATGATCCTATTCTTCCGTACTTAGCATACGCTTTCTCCAACAAAGCGCTCCAGAATTCATTTCCTGAGTTGGAATGGCAGAACACAAGTCTTCCATTTTTTGTCGGTAATCTGTCATCAACGACAACTTTTTTCCATTCACCATACCTCCATAAATGGAATTTGAATATACCAGCATAGGTTGGTTTCGATTTCTCGTCATATTTCCATTCCTGGTTCTTGAGATCTGGTACTACCTTGAGGATTAATTAATTATGAGAATAATTAAATTGATGCAAACGGCTAGTAACTATGTGACAAATTATAAAAAGGAAATGTCTTTAGTTAAACTATATATGTCTTCGTCAAGTTTCATCTGAAAGAAGCGTTCTTGTTGGGTTGTGTAAGAGAGTCCGTACATAAAATATGTCTTGAAGTACAATTTCTCTCTTAACATTAGAGCGCTAGGCGAGCCGGTGGCTAGCTGATATCGTGTCTGCCTTTCCACACAGAATTCTTGATTTTGAAACTCACTTGATTAAGGACTCAATACAGTTTAAAAAATGTAAAGTAAAAGATGTCATAACTATCGGACTGAAAAGAATTTTAAACTTATCCTTATTTGAAATAAATAACTTTATTTGTATTTAAAGCCAAAGGCATCCGTGGTCGAATGTTTAGGCCATTGGCTTCAAAACGAATGCCCCTCACCACTGTAAGTTCGAATACCGACAGGAACTTTGATTTCTTACATGTGAAGAAGCTTAGTCTAATGATTATCATCGTGTTCTCGATCGTACCTAAAATAGTGCACAGAGATGCACCTGAGATCTTCTTCAGCCAGTAAAGGTAGAATGTCGTTATATAAATTTATGCTAATGCAACGCAAAACCCACCAAAAGAAAAATAAATAAATAAACTTATTACTTAATAAAAGGAAAAAAACTGCTGGACCAAATGCAAGCCCTTGTAAAAGTTACTAAAAAGAAAAGTTATTGTAATATATAAGTAAGAAAATTCAAGATTAAAGTCCTCACTGTGTTGAAAAGTGTCCTCTCTTTGGTAAGACTAGCACACGCAGTGACAAACCACGGGTTTCCAAACTCCCCCTGGTGGAGAAAATCTGTATTCGTACTATCAACAACCAGTTTTGGTGCCATACAAAGTTCCTGATAAACAAAATACGGTATATGGGCATTAGATATTTGATCACTTTCACGTGTTATTCTAAAATACGATAGTCATATTGACTTCTTTTTACTCCCTTATTCTGAATCACTTGGTTTACTGAAACTTTTCTGTTCTTTGTTCGGTTGCTTATCATGAATTATACAAATGTTAAGAAGTATTAAATAGTAATGATGAATTGATAATGTCTTACCAATTAATGAATCGATAACTTTATATCAATTTACAAACTGGTAAAGCCATACCATTTTAAACCTGTTTACTTCATAGCAATTAGTAAAATTGTGACACGATACAAAGGAATAAACCGGTAACCTCAGTTCAATTAATGCAATGGCGACATGACCCTCTATTATGAAACACCAGTCATCCCATACCAATCAATCAAGCGTCAACATGATACTAACAGTTGCCTCATAAACAATTTATAAAATAGTGCCATGATACTTATTGACAAATCAGTACTTTAGAAACAATTTTTAAGATGGTGACATGATACTTATTGACAAAGAAGTAACCTCATTCCAATTAATAAGCTAGTAACATGATACTTATTTATAAATCAGTTTTCTCATTCCAATTAATGTGCTAGTGACTTGAAATTTATTGATAAACCAGTTACCTCATTCCATTAACAAGCTAGTGACATGATATCTATTGACAAACCAGTTTTCTCATACCAATAAATAAGCTAGTGACATTATATTTACTGACAAACAAGTTACCTCATTGTCATTCAAATTAATGAAATAGTGACATGATACTTATTGGCAAACCAGTAACCTCATTCCAATTAATAAGTTAGTGACATGATATTTATTGATAAACCAGTGACCTCATTCCAATTAATAAAATAGTGACATGATACTTATTGACAAACAAGTAACCTCGGACCAATTAAATAAGCCAGTGACATGATACTTATTGATAAACCAGTGACCTATTACCCAAAAAAAAAAGTTAACATCCATGAATAAACTGATAGTGGTTAAATGTTTACCATTCTAATCCTTAAATTAGGAACTGGAAACCAATTTTAAAAGTGGTTAGTACATCATACTAATTTAAAAAAAAACAACATGGTATTTAAAATGTTTTGTCTTACACCGATTGTTACAGTTGTTACAACATGTACGTATGTACGACAAATATACTTATCTAATGGCTATGATTTTAACTGGTTACGTAATACAAAATGATAACTTTGTTACATTACAAAAATTGAAAAACCGGTTACGTCATACCTGTTTGTTATTTTACGTCATGCCAACCGCCCTTCCAGTTAATTAATCGATTATTTAATGCCAACTGGTGAATCGGTTACTTTTAAGATGCAAGTTGCTTATATTCGCAATGAAAATATGAGTCAGGGGTGCCAGAATAAATTTTTTTTATGCATAATTATCATAAATTCATGGTACCCTTGACTTATAAGTAGGGAACTTATATCCCTTAAGTACACTTTACATTAAAGTAAATTTTATACGACACATGCTCAGGTGCAGCAGATTGTTAATATAATTCTATAAAATTGACTCATTTTAAATGTATTTATATTATATATCAAATAACTTTCTTCGAACATACCCCTGGTCGTTTCCATACTATGTCGTTTTCAACCCTGCTGAAAAACAGAGATTTACTGTTGACTGGAAATTCGGGATCCTCAAAAAGTTCATTTTTCTTTAGGCAGTCACTTTTTATTGAAGAGTATTTCTGGTAATTGAATTTTTTCGGCATTTTTGATGTGTTAAATTTGTCCTATATTCCTACTAAGTGCAGTTCATCTTTCTGTAAATTGAAAGAACCATTTTAAACATTTTCTAAAATCATTTCACTAGTTTTATGAGCCTATACCCCCTCCCCCCCCTTTGCATATCTTTATCTGTCGACTGTTGTTGTCAATGAACTTAGATATATTGGTAACGTTGTGTAATGGTTACATTATTTGGTGTTTGTGACGTGTTTTACTTTACACTGTATTGTTTACGTTATATTGCGTTTGTAACGTTGTGTTATGTTATATTGTATTCGTTATGTTGTTAGTGTGTGACGATTCATTGTATTTGTTACGTTGTGTAAATTAACACTGTATTTATGGTGTGTTACGTTGTAATACGTTATGTTACGATGTTACGGTGTAACGTTGTGTAACGTAAATCTTTGTCTGAGTGTGAAATCATTGTATTACGTTACACTGTATTTATTGCTTGTGTTACGTTATAGTCCTATTTATAATCTACAGAATTCTATGAATTTAAACAGAAAACGAAAGTAGCATTCGGACGGTGATGATATTGTGTGACAAACTTTGAAGATCACTGGAAATCATCCGAGTAACCGAGTACTCGATAGGAAAAATAACCGTATTGATTTTGATATTCTTTGCCATCCCTAATTGTAGTCGTTATGTTGTTAGTGTGTAACGTTATACTGTATGTGTTACGTGTGTAATTTAACACTATATTTATGGTTTGTTACGTTTTAATACGTGAGGTTACGTTGTTACGTTGTTTAACGTAAATCTTTATCCGTATGTGCAATTACACTTTATTTATTGCTTGTGTTACGTTATACAGTATTGGTCTTGTTACGTTTAACAACATGCAGTTAACGAGTTCGATACGTCGGACGTTTATATTCAATTCAATTCAATTAGTTTATTACCATATCATCACGTGTACAACAGACATATCACAATCAAAACGAATAAAACTGATAAAAGTACATATCCCATGTCATACAAAATTTAATCACATACCCGTGCCGTTTTTGCGACACGGCCGTGCATATATTTTGGCGTGACTTACACTCATTCAATATCCTTTATATAAAAAATTTTAAAATACTATTATGTATTAAGTACTAGAATGAATAAAATGATAAAAACATTACTCCTGGCCAATTGAACAAATTCCCAGCTGTAAGATCCATAACACTCTCTGATTTAAAATAGCTACATTAAAAAGAAGACTAACCTACTTTATATTGAACAAACTACGTTAGTGTTAAAATGATTTTGTATCGATATTGTACCTTAACAAGGAAGTATATTATTATAGATCTACAACCCGATTTTTCTGTTAACTGACACGTATATCGATTAATTGATACATGTATATTTAGAGATATACAATGATTATCCTTGCGTAAAATATTTTTATTACACAAATTTTTTGAAATCTTTGTAATTCTTACTGAATATGTCCAATTTGAATAAGAAAAATGAATAAATTATGTTTTGGAAGCTGCGCTCCCTATAAGCGGTCGAGTAAAATTAGTCTTTTCCTAAAAAAACAAACAAACTCGTATGTCATGATATTTTTAATGACACTATATATTCATAATGTAACACCTTTAGTATGTAGAATTTTTAACAAAATATCTACTTTGTGTGACGTTAAAACATGCTTATTTTATATTTACAATGAGACTGTGTAGAAATTATAAATATTTTTAAATACAAAATTTGAGCATAGTATATGTTTAATTTAAGTTAATTATTGTATCTGAATACAAAAATATTTTTCTTAAATGCGCCATATTAAAACTGAATAAATTATTCTAAAAATATTCACAGTTTATGGGCAAATTGATGTATAAACTCAAATAAGAAAGAAACAAACTAACAAACAAAATGATTTGAAACAAAATGTGTAAAATTTAAAAAGGAAAAAATACGAAAGATTTTATGGAAATATTTGGAAAAGTACTCAAATATTTACAAGCTACAGCACACATTTCATTCATTCATTCATTCATTCATTCATTCATTCATTCATTCATTCATTCATTCATTCATTCATTCATTCATTCATTCATTCATTCATTCATTCATTCATTCATTCATTCATTCATTCATTCATTTCAGCATTCATTCATTCTAGCATTCATTATTCGTTCATTCTAGAATTTATTCATTCATTCACATTATTTCATTCATTCATTCATTTATTTATTCATTCATTCATTCTCTCATTCATTCATTTTAGCATTCATTCATTCTAGCATTCATTATTTATTCATTCTAGCATTTATTCATTCATTCACATTATTTCATTCATTTATTCATTTATTTATTTATTCATTCATTCATTCATTCATTCATTCAATCATTCATTCATTTTAGCATTCATTCATTCTAGCATTCATTATTCATTCATTCTAGCATTCATTCATCCATTCACATTATTTCATCCATTCATTCATTCATTCATTCATTCATTCATTTATTCATTTATTAACATAAAAATGTTTAAACTTTCACTCAGCCGAATTTGGAAAACGAACTATTCAAAAATTGTTTACGGGAATTTTGTTTGCAACACTTTGTGAAATTTGAGAGCTCAGAAGCAAAGAAAAAGAAACAAACTAAATTGTATCACACACACCACATCAAAACCATTTAACAATCAATTCTTAAACTTTTTAAATTCCATACTTTAATATCGATTTGCAAATTTTTAAATAAATCATTATTTTGTTGTGAAATTAATGTAATACACAACTACAAAGAAAATGATAAATAAATTAACTTACATCTTGTTTTCAATACGTAAATCAGGAAATTGCTTTCACAACCCAATATAAAAATGTTTCACTTTAAATCTTACCTAGAAAGGAAGTAAATTTAACGGTATTTGATTTTCAAAAAATCTACTAGCTTGCTTAAAAGACATATTTACTGGTTTTGTTCAAGTTGAATACAAAGGAGAAAAAGACGGTAAAATATCATGGGTTTAATTCCATCTTGACTGGTGGTGGTGTTGGTAGCTTTCCCTCCGGATCACGACAGCAACGCCACTTAGAGTTCACCAGAGCACAGTCCAGCTACCGCATCGTCCCTGAGCAGTTTGTCAGGCAATTTACAGATTTCCTTCTCTTCCGATCAAGGAACTGTTAACTTCTGTACATTCCGGAGTAGAGGTGCAGTGCGAATGACCGTAGAAGAGATTTCATGATCAATGACAACAAATAACCAGTAACCGAACCTGGGTCGCCGATTCACAGACCAAAGCTCCACCAGTTTATTAAACCTGATTATTACCCATTCTGAGTTTAGTTCAGATCATCTTATATAGTAGTACTGTGTTATGTAAAAGGTGATTTTAATCTGATTCATGAAGTTTATGTAACCCTCCTTTCTTTTATAATTGAAGGTGATCTAAATAAGTATGACCAGCTTCAAATTTTCACCTTGATGTCCCTGAAAATGATATTAACTTTTTCGCGCATTAACACAGGCAGATGCACGATAACGCATTTAAAACCCGGAAGATTTAATAAAGCCCGTGAGCCGCCGCTTTTCATGAATAAAGTGTACCTCATTCGGTTATTCCGCGTTTCGGCCTTTTTTGTTTGTTTATAGTAGAAAGAAACAGGTTTCGTAATGCTTTTCTAATTTTAACAATGAAAATTTCGTTGTCAAATATCACCCTAATTAAACTGGATATTTTCTTTATATGATATTTACATTTTCAATATGATATGTATGGTGTGATGTTGATTTAAGAAATAAATAACAACGCTACTCTATAACTTAAGTTGATTTTTGTCATTTTGAATGTACTTTTGGCCGGAGGCCTTATAATGCAATAAAACGTTGTTGTTGGTGTTGTTGTTGTAATTTTAACGCGCGTATGCATTACTGGGTCATTTATTTTTACATACCTGCCATGTTCACACTTACCAAAATAGTGAACGTCTGTAACGTCAATTTCCTCTATTTATATGGCTGGACTGAAAATATTTATTCTAAACAACACAACGTTTTATTCGTATTGGAAGATCTAACGTTCATTTCAACAAAATTATATATACATTTATACAGAAAACCTTCTAAACCTTTTCAAGCAGAATATTTAATTACTATGATGATAATTAGTGGTGTTGGTAGTTTGACACTCCGGATCACGGCAGCAAGCCACACTGAATTCACCAGAGCACAGCTCAATCACTGCATCGTTCCTGGGCAGGCTGTCCAGCAGTTTACCAATACTAGTTGCTTTCACTTTCGCAAGGAACTGATAACTTCTGTACATGCCTGAGCAGAGGTACAGTGCAAATGACCGTAGAAAGGATTTCATGATCAATCACAACGAAAGTGACCTGCACCGTCCGGGAATCGAACCCGGGTCGCCCGATTCACACACGCTCTACCTATTAAGCTAACCGGACGGCTTATGATGATAATTATGTATGAATGTAGTTTATGCTTAAAGAAGGTCCATCCGCCCGTTAGGGCACACAATTCAGCTTTCGATGTCAAGTACGGACACCGGACATGTCACCATCCATGCCCTAAAAGAGTTAATTTTGAAGCACAAAGTGGTGATAATTTACCTCATTGCAATTTCCACGGAGTATTAGCCAAAGATATGAATTTTGAGCCAAAAGTAGGTCACTGTACGGCGGTCAATGAGAACCTAAATAATAAATGTACAGTAACCTGTGACAATATGAAATGGTAGCCCTGAAAAGGGCTGTTGGTACCAGCAAAAGGCCTGTCATTCAAGCCGTCTAACCGTGCTAAAGGCTCACGCACCTTAGCACACAATCCTCATCGACCAAAGCGCCTATTTTGTAGGGCCAATCCCCTCGGCTTTAGTCAGGACATCGGCAGCTGGTCCATAGAATAAGTTCCGATCTTTTTTCGCTGTCCCCAGTCTTCAAATCTTCTGCCAATGCCCTGTGTCTTCTCAACGACGTACACGTACCGAGGGGAAGAGAGAACTGATGATAATTATATATAGCAAATTATCTTAATATCTAAACCACCCAATCGCAACTGTTCGGCCCTTTCCCTCAGTCTTCGGATAAGGACCTCGGACACAATAGTAAGAATGCACATAACGGATCATACCTACGCTAAGAAACTAAACATGTAAACAAATTAAGTAATTTTACAAATATAACAGTAAACAGTACATTATTGATATACTTATATTTGTGGTTGTAGAAATCAAATATACAAATAGTCTACCTGTTGACATTTATACGGATTTGGTTATAATTGTACATCAGTGAGCATTTCTAAATTGATTATGATTGTCAGACATATATTCAATCATAATTGTACTAAAACAGACATTGTTTTCCTTTGGATTTCAAATATATAAATTCTTTATACATTCTCAAACATTGCTCCTACATGATAGAACTACTTAATTACTATCCGTATTATGTCCAAGGTTATTATTAATAATAGCTAAGATGTTCCGATTGCCATACCACCCTGAAAAACGCAACATCATATTTATACTCAAGAACATGTCACCGACAGCAAAATGCTTTTTCTTTTGATATATACTATGTCTATAGTTCTGCCAGCTTTTGATATATTGACAAATCGTTCTTTCATAAATATTGTGGTATTATGGTCAAATGAAAATATTTAATGAGAAATAATCGAAGATTCGCTTGAAATAAAACAAGTATATACAGACCTGTATATTGACTGAATGCTGTTTTTTTTTTCTCTAGACGATAAATCTACCGTCTGTGCTTTTTTTTGTTTTTATCTTTTGTTTGTTATCTCTGCTCTAAACTAAATATCGCGCGACGAAAATGCGTATCTGCGGAATGAAATAAATTACATGCAATCTATTTTAGATAACGACACCTGAATGGATTTATATTAAGGGAGTTTAAGCAATGTGGAGTTTTAAAACAAATATGTCTAAATATCAAAAAGTTGGCGTATTAATTTGTACACTAGCTGTGATTTTATATGTGCTGACATTTGCAATGGAGGCGTATCAAGGACCCGAGGTACGTGTTAATATTGTATTAGTTATTTTCAAGGTTATATTGTCAAGTGTAAAAGGTTTATTTTAATACCTGAGCCACTGAGCAATGGTGACCATCATATAACCGTTTACTTACGGCCATATAATTATAATATGTCAAGAGTGAGTATTACGAATTCATTTTTCTTTTTTAATTGCCCGTTTGAAAAATGGGTCTTATTATAGTTTCCCTAATTTTCTCTGGCGTGCGGGAATTCTGACGAGCTGGCGGGCGGGTGGTCGGCGTCCAAATTTGTCCGAAGCATATCTCCTACGCGCATGGAGGATTTAAATGAAACTTCATAAAATGTTCGCCACTATGAGAAGCTGTGTCATGCGCATAATTCAAGTCTCCAAATCAAAGGTCAAGCTCACACTCAGAGGTCATTTAACAAGAAAAATATTACATACATTCGTATGAAATATAGGTACGATTGCATACTACTTTCTGTGAAGACTTTTTTATGTTAGCTGCGTGAAAGGTGTAATGTAAAATGAACATGCCATGAGATATTTTATATGAACAGAACAGAACAGAACAGAAATTTTATTTCGTAACGTATACAATACAGTATCTTGTTACATTACACATATCAAATATTATAAATAGATAAACACATGATATAATTCAAAGATTTACAGTATATTGGAGAATGAACATATATTGCTGCGAAAAAAAAAATTGATTTTGTATAAAATAAATGTATATCAGAATAATCTCATTTTTAATATCAGAATAATCTCATTTTAATATAAAAATTACTAGCGAAATCTAAACGTTTACAATATTAATGAAAATAATAACAACATTTTAACATTACATTTATGTATAACCTAAGCTTATCAACATATCTTTTCTTTTACTATTTGCAAAATAAATAAATTTACATAAATTTAATAATATAGACTTTTCACATGACTGAAGTAATTCTATGAATTTAAACATGCTAGGTTTTTTATAATAATATCTTTTAATGAATTTAGTGCGTATTTCCTGGTACAAATTACAAACAAGTATAAAATGGAATTCGTCTTCAATATCTTGTGTATTACAAAGTTGACATATGCGCTCATGTCTTTCAAGTCTGTTTCTACCATATCTTCCAGATTCTATTCTTAAATTATGCGCAGATATTCTGAGACGGGTTAATTGTTGTCTTGATTTCATACACTTAATTTTATCTAAATAGCATTCCATAGAAAAATTATCCTTGATATGTCTATACAATGTATTTAAAACGTTATTATTAACAATATCTGAAAACCATTTTTGTTTAAAAACATCAATGACTCTTTGTTTAAAAATATTAACAAATTCTTTTGGATTATAAAGTTCAGGACAATTCCACACCTCAGAAAAACCAAATTCATCTAAAATTCCTTTTACTTTATATGCCCAGTTTTTCACTCCTTTTTTACACTGATTTAATGTATTTATATACACACATTTAACAATGATATTGCTTGAATGTATCACTTTAAACCAATATTTTATTATGTGAACATATCGATTAACATAAAGTGGGTATCTTCCTAGCTCACCATAAATTGCTGCATTACAAGAGCTTATTTTCACACCAAGAATTAACTTGCAAAATTTCAAGTGTAATCTCTCTATATCTTTAGATTTTGTAAATCCCCAGACTGGACAAGCATAATTTATGATAGAGCCGACAAAAGCATCAAATAATTGTAAGGAAACAGAAGGGGATATTTCATACTTGTTAATATTACATATTAAAACATTCATTGCTTTCAAAGCTTTACCTATAAGATATTGATTGTGAAGTACAAAGGACCCAGTGTAATTAAATACTACACCTAAATAATTAAAATCGTCAACAATTTCCAAAGCTTCATTATCATAAAACCAACGTTCATGAGGAAGTACTGGTCCTCTATTCCGAAAAACAACTATTTTAGTTTTGGCGGTATTTACCTCTAGGCCCCATAGATTACAGTATTCAAATAACGAGTTTAATCTTTGCTGTAAATCCTCTTGCGAGTTACCAATTATTACCATATCGTCAGCGAATAACAATATTACTATACATATTTCAAATATATTCAATCCACAATCGACGGAGTTTTTGTAAAAATAATTCTAGGTCTTCTAAAAATAGTGCCAACATGGCGGGTGAATTATTTTGGCCTTGTCGTAGCTCAACCGATAAATTGAAAAACTCTGAAAATGTATTGCAATGTTTAACACACGACTTAACAATTGAATACATTGATTTAAAAGTTCTAAGTAACTTCTCATCTAATCCCATATTAAATAATTTATACCATAATGCATTGCGGTTCACAGAGTCAAACGCCTTTTTTAAGTCGATAAAAGCACAAGGTAATCGCATTTTTGAGTTAACATCTGGTTTATTAAATTATGTAACACGAAAATTGGATCTACTGTACTACACCCCTTTCTGAAACCAAATTGAGCGTCTGACAAAATGTTATTATCATCAAACCATTTTCCACTCTATTTGTCAAGATACTTATAAATAATTTCCCAAAGTTACTTAGTAATGTGATGCCACGATAATTGTTAACATTAGTATAATCGCCTTTTTTATGAAGAGGTATAATAAAGCCTTCAGACCGTATTTCTGGAAAATAGTCTGCATCAAAAACTCTGTTAAAAAGATCAGTGATATGGCCTACTAATATATCAAAAGAAAATATAAAGTATTCGTTCAACAAGTCATCACTTGGACAAGACGCTTTGTTGCAGTTTAATCGCTTCACCGCATCTCTAACTTATATCTTTAAACATTTTAATGGAATGTAATTAATGTATCATCATATTAAAGTTGCACGCCTTCAGATAAGAAAAATGATTTCAAGGAAATCATAACATGAAAAGAAAATTCACGGTCAATTGACTGCTTTGAAGCATAATCACACAATAAAATTACAGGAAATTAAAAACCTTTTTAATACATTAAAGGTAGAATTTCATTGTAAATCACATTCGCAGATTTGAGATATGATTATCTATTCATAAGTGGCATGGAATGCAGAAATGGGGTTTCTTGACCAAATTTTGGATTTTCACTTTTTTTTAATTTTCTGAATCTATGAAATATCAGAAATATTCTTATTGACAAAGATATACATATTTTTGTGTGTATGGTGCCCAGTAAGTAATTAAAAATAAACATAAAAAACTTGGATATTTGTAATGTTTAAAGGTGCATGGGGAAAACAACTTATGAAGCTAACATGAATTTTGTGAAAAAAGTCATTTTTTATATGCTTATAAATCTTATAGAATATTTCTGGAATACAGCCACCATAATTAAAGCATCATTTACATTCTGTTGCCTAGCAACGGACCTCTTCCTGGGTTCTTCCTGGGCTTTTTCATGTAAAAAGTCATGTGCAAGGTGTATTTTATAACACTTGTAACAATCAATACCAAATGGTTCTATTGCATTTCTATAGAGTTACCAGGTCATAATACTGTTTAGATATATCATAATACAACTCTAAAAGAACTGAACAGAGTGTCCATTTATCATTCATTTATTATTTAACCTCATTCTGACAGACATTTACTGTGACAGCAGACAACAGTTTAATACAACAGTAAATGAAATATGACTAAAGTGTAACATCATAAAAGGTAGCTGTACCAAATAAAGGACATGATTACACAAATAAAACATAAAGGTAGCTATATTCTGTTACCTAGCAACTATGGAATATTCTTTTTTTTAAAATTTATTTTGTAAGTTTACACATTTCTTGGCAAAATACAGCTAACAAAGCAGCAGAAATAAATTAATTTTCAATAAAATTACAAACAATGCCTATTATTTACTTTTAAATAATTTTCCATTCAAGATTTAAGATATTGGTCAGTACACTTGACTAGTGATAGTACGCCATGTTAATTTTAGCATAAACTCAGTATTTTTGCCATATATATTGCTCTGTATGTTATTGTTTACAATAACCAATAAGCATTTGATCAAATGTTAATTTCCATATAATGTAATAAATATATTTATCTGCTGTATAACTAGTTTACTTAATACCTAAACAATTAGAAGCAAGAGCTGTCGGTAGGACAGCAACGCTTGACTATTCTTAGTGCTTGACAGTAAAAAAGCCTTGACAATGTAAATTTTCTAAGTTAACAAAAGAGCATAAGTTTTCTTTAAAACCATGTTACAGTAATAGGCCTTGGAGAGAGTCCTATAATGCTCTAAAAGAAGAGTATAAAATTTCAACTTGTTTCAAAGCCAGATGTCAATAGAACATGAAAATATCTGAGGTGGTATGCAAACTTAAATGTAAATTCTAAGTCGAAAAAGGGACATAATTCTGTCAAAATGCTTGATACAGTAACTTTCTCCTGTCTACAGGCTAGGGTCATGTTGGTGAAAAAGTGTGCAAAGTTTGAAAATATTTGAGGTATTACAAAAACTTTAACGTAAATTCTAAGTCGGAAAAGGGGTATAATTCTGTTAAAATGTTTGATAGAGTTACCTCCTCCTGTCTACAGGTTGGGGTCATGATGGTGAACAAGTGTGCAAAGTTTCAAAGCCATATGTCAATGTACTTTGAAAATATTTGAAGTATATCACAAAAACTTCAACATAAGTGTCGAATAGTCGAGCTAAAAATCAATCAGTGTTGCAAAGCAACCACAATATATTTCATAATTTTCTTTTAAATTTTACAAATTTTAAGTGCACAACTGGCTATTTGAATAAAGAAAGATCTTAACATATCATGACAGCATGATAACAAAAACAAAAAATAAAATTATTAAAACTGCAAATGCAATCTTTACAATGATTCTTGGATCAAGTATCCTTAAACTCACTTTACTGTAGGTTTTGAACTTGTAAAGATATAAACATATTTTCATAAAAGTATTTTCAGGAACATCAAGTGTTAACTACACTGAGGTTCCACAACAAAGTAAGGACTTTGAATTGACTAGCATAATTAATTATTAAATGACATAAA